CTTGCCTGAGAAAAAAAATATTCACGTAATGCCTTTTACTCTCGAATCGCTGGTATTCTAGAAAAAAGCCTTCAATACACGTTTTCATTCAGACAACAAAATAACATGCTTACAATAGCCCTCTATTCGGCTAGACCTCAACAATCATAAAACACTGATCATATTTCTATGCAGTTCTTCGCATACCGAAATACCCGGGACTCACAGTCCGTCCCTACATATAGAGAGCAGCCAAATTAAGACACAGGAAAACAAACACTTTTTTTCACAAACTGCTACTCCAAACGGATAAATTGATAATGCTTGTCATTTACATCTGACTATCAATCCAAATGACCATGTGTATGTTCTGTGGTGCTCTATGAAGTAAGGTACCAGCCTAGAAAAGATTCAAAACACTGTTTTGATCAAATAATATCAAAAAAATCTACTGTACATACTTATTACCACTACCTAAATTTGAATTGAAATGATCACGAGCACCCGTTCAGCTCCCTTATACACTAAGGTGTGAGACTCCAAAAGATTCTTTTTTCGTCAAATTCCACTCCAAAAATCTGCTATTCATACTGCTTACCTGTACTTGTTTGCAAGTTGAAATGACCATGTGCACTTGTTGTAGCCCTTTATTTACTTGAAGGTGAGACTCAAAAATACGAAAAAAGACTCTTTTTGGATGGAAAGCTACTTGAAAAAGCCGTCTTTTTTTTGTAATCTTCAGAATATGTCTGTAAGTCTCTCAGACTGTGTACCTGTCTGTGTTTTTGTGCTGTGTGAAAGGATAAAAGAGCAAGGTTAAAGGCCATGCTTTAATGGAAAATGAAGTGCTGAAGGGGAAGGCGCAATGGACTTTCATATAGATGCGCCAATATTTTCTCATGGACTTTTCTATGGAGATACCTTGCGTTCTCATGCACCGTCGTGTAGAGTTACGCATAAGGGTGAAACGGTATCTCATGAAGGTTCTCGTAGGTGCTGATTGGTTATCATATGGAGATATGCAGAGGTCGTCAGGTTCTATGGTGTAGAAATACCCGTGGGTCCTCATCGGGTTTCCTATCGAGTTATCCTCAGGTCTTTATGAGCTACTATATGGAGGTACCCATTGTTCCTAATAAGCCATTCGATGAAAGTACCCTTTGGTGGTGAAGAACTGTCCTATATAGTTACGGATGTGTCCTCAGGGAGTGTTATAAAGAAGTATCCATAGATCCTCAAGGGCTATTATATGGAAGTACCCATAGGTTCTGAAGGGCTGCTATATGGAGGTACCTGTAGGTCCTTATTAGATCTTTTGTAGAGGTGCCGAAAGGTGGGAGCGTGGGTACGGGTATAGGTGTGTCACTTCGATAGGCGCTCACACACCTGCACCCATGGCCATAGTCGGCGCGGGTATATTTCATCGCATGATCATTTCGTGGCGTTTACTTTGTCGCAGAACAATTTCTTTTGTTCTATTTGTTTCAGAAGTATTCCATCGTTTTACTCGTTTTATCCTCGTTAATTCATTCTGTTTTTTTTAAATAACTAGTCAAAATGAAATAAACTAAATGAAAACTCTAGAAGATGTGTACAATTAGGATACAACATTAATGGCTGTAAAACGTAAGACTTGAATTCAGAAAACGACTCAATAAAAGCTTTTAATCAAACGAAATTTTGATAAAGCTGAAGTAAAAAAAATCATGTTTGCAATTGTGTTAATCAGTTTCAAAATAAACTAGATCGACGATAATACTCTCGGGACGATGAATCCAGCTAAAGGATACCATCGAATCTTATTGGTGTCTTTAGTATTGAATTCTGTTGATATTCTTGGAATCTCATAGGATGCGACGAGTTGACATTGACCTGAATGCTTATCCAATGTTTTTCAAAGTAGTTATTTAGATTATTTTCTCCTTTGGATGAATTTGTTCTTTTTTTCTTTTTTTGGTTTTCTTTTTCGTCTTGTTGTTTGCTTATTGGTTTCAAATTGGTCATGGTTGTTATATATGATACACATAATACAGATGAGTTAAATTGATCGATTTAATGTCTTTTAAAAAATTAAGAGAAATGAAATAGACAGAACGAAAGGAGTGTTATACGACGAAGTGCTGTGTCACGAGGTAATCGATCACTGCCAGAGCCGCGCACAGCCAGAGTCACACCCATACGCATACCCTTACCGTTGATTATTAAGCTGAAAATAGGTGCTCTGAGTCTAGGTTTTATCTTTTTTGTACATTGACAAACTGCGCAGGTGTGTGGTATGTTTTTCGATATATTATAATATCGTTTCTGACTTTCATACATCTTAGAGAGAAATAAGAGGATGTACATCAGAGTAGTAGCGAATACGTCGTTTTAAAAATCGTGACTTTTATCAGAGTATTGTTTATGTCAGAGAGCAAAGCCCAAGGCTCTTTCTTGACTTTCTAGAAACACAAATTTTGTTACCTGTCGACTAGTATACTTTATCATGAGAGTATGTTATTGTTTTTAAATAATTGGAATTCGTCGATATTACCGATAATTTGCGTCGGAAGACAACAGCAAATAGTGATTCTATATATCGAACGAATAACAATAGATACAAATGGTGTGTCGTAATTTTATGCGATGAACGTATACAGTCGACAGATGGTTACAGAAGTCGTATACAGTGAACGTTTATGGCATTTGTTTACATCGACCGAAAATCATCGTCAAATGTTGTTCACGATCGCCGTAACGAACTGCCGTATACGGTTGTCGTGTTGTCATGTTAGTCGTTTCCGTTGATATTTTACAGTCAATGTTTACAAGTACGATATCATGTCGTAAAGCACCAGTTACGACTATTGTAAAATGGCACCGTGAACGGCTGACGTATACGATGTCTTACATTGTTTCTCGACCAAAGCCTACAGTCATTGTACGCGATTACCGGAATAGGCTGTAAACCGTCATTTTCTTCTGCCGTAAATAGCTAACGTGAACAGCCGCCATTATTCATCGTATTTGGTTAGTGAACGACCGTTTATCTCTGGGCGTAACCCAATGTCTATGAAATTCTCTATTACAGTATGCAAAGGAGAGGACATAAATACAAAATTTCTACCCTTTGGACTTCAACACTCTTCTCAGATCGTGTTTCACTAAAACGACTAAAGAATCCACCAGTAGACAGATTATTAATTGCAAAGAATCAGCTTTTAGCCCATGCTACCCTTCTCGTTGTTATAGACAGAATGAACTAACATATATTATAGAAATAGATCCTGGCAAACAAAAAATCATACTCATGAATCACATTCCATAGTGTTCACAAGAACTTTGTCCCCATAGTATGATAGAAAATGACGGTCCTATCGTAAACAAGTTACAGTTGACTCATGAGACGCCTTATAATATTATCTGATGAACATACGCAGTCGTCCCAGTGTCAAGCTGATCGTTACCATTGAATAGCTACTGTCATCATTTAAGGTAGTCGACATATGCCGTAAGTTGCCATTCACAGCTGCTGTAAATTATTGTTACACATAGCGGCCGTTATTCTTCGTAATTGCATGATAAAGAGTTGTATATCATCTTCGAGCATGATTAACATTAGTATAGTAGTGTAGTATATGAATTCGAGCATATTATCTTTTAAACCATTTTATAAGAACACTATTCATCAGGAATGATCTCAAAGTATGGTTAACATTGAGTGGACAAATTGAAACAGATGATTATTGAGGTATAGAGTTAGTCAGCATCCGAATAAACTTCGACAATATTCTCTAGAGTTAGATCAGATAAGATTCAATTGTATGCCACAGACCAATATGTTGAAAATATTATCCCAAAAAAGTATCAAAACGATCTTATTTCATACAGTTCCAGTACATATCTGGTGTAGGATATATTTCTAACATTGTTAGAGTGAAGCTGATATAGTAGTCAGGAATTATTCAAATTCTCAGTTTTATTCTAAATGTTAAGGTAATAAATAAGCTTTAGTTGAATTCTTTCAACAGTATAGTTAAGTAGTACTGCTGGTAAATGTGTATTTGACTAAAATTTGTAATAGAAAATAATTCGTATAGAGTAATCCTGTCAATAAATACATATTTTTCGAAGTGGCTAAATGTATCTGCTCATTTCAGTTTCATGATCAATAGCACATTGTTAAAACTACAAAAAAGATTGAATATTATGGTTTTCATATATAACTTAACGACTGTCACATATTTATGTAGAAGGACTGCACCTATTAGAATCTGAAACTACACAGGTTTCTTTTAAAAAAAGCCTATTTTGACTATGTATTTGTAGAGACAGAAACGATATTAAAATGCATCCAAGAAAAGCAGATAAAGAGGGTAAGTATTTATAACTTTTCATGGATTGTTAGAAGTATGTATGCTTGCATTTGGCACCATTGATCGAAATATTTAAGACAACAAGTCCCACTGTCAAATTGAATCCCTTGTTTTTTTTTCATTAGACAAACCTTGGCTCCAATGTCAATTTCATAGTTTCGATCAAACATCCATCAAGAAGCCTGATGAGCTCGGAATCAGTCAGAAAGATTTTGCTCCATTGTCCACTACCAACAACGATCTCTTGAATCATATCCGAGGTTCAATGTTTGGTATGGCCATCGGCGATGCTCTTGGGGCTCACGTTGAATTCAGACCACACAGTTATCTGGCTACTAATCCAGTTAAAGATTTAGTTGGAGGAGGCACGTGGGGTCTAGAACGCGGACAGGTTAGAAAATCTAACAATAGCAGTTGTATCACAGTTACCTTTTATAGTTTACCGACGATACTTCTATGGCACTTTGTCTAGCCAATTCATTGATTGCTCGTCGAGGTTTTATTCCGTACGACCAGTTAGTCCGCTACAAGTGGTGGTATCGACACGGTTACATGTCATCGACTGGTCATTGTTTTGACATCGGTGCGGCCACCAGAGAGTCGATCGTAGAATTCGAAAGGCGGCAAAAGGAGTTTGCACAAAGTCATCAAATTCTGCTGGAAGAAATGGACTCATTATCCAACTGTGATCTTCTACAAGCATTCGATGTATACTGTAGCAAAGAAGGTGTGGCTGGCAACGGAGCTCTCATGCGTCTTGCACCTGTACCACTATTTTTCTGGCGACGTCCTGCAGTGGCCGTTGACTATTCTGGCATTAGTGGAAAAATTACTCATGGAGATAAACGAGTTTATGATGCATGTTGCTATTATGGAGCTCTTATTGTAGCTGCACTTAAGGGAGAAACGAAGGATGATTTGCTTAGTGAAAAATTTTACACGAATCATCGAGAATGGTTTGGTGATGAAGATCTTCATGACGATATTAAGACCATCGCTTGCGGTTCGTACAAGAAATCAGGTGGCTATCACGATGGAATTCGAGGTAAAGGATTCATTGTGAATGCTCTGGAAGCTGCTTTATGGGCTTTTTGGAGTGATGGGAACTCCTTTGAAACAGGTGCCATTAACGCTGTTAATCTCGGGGATGACACTGATACAACAGCAGCCATCTATGGTCAATTAGCGGGTGCGCATTACGGTTACGAGAAGTTGCCAGAAAAATGGTTAAATTGTATCTACGCCAAAGATTTTATTCTATGTGTAAGTAGCTGGATTACCTATGAAGGAGAAAGATGGTTCAAAAACCATACAGTTCCTATCATCAGTACACTTATAAATTCTTTTGATAACACGTTGTATAATTCAAGACCAAGTGATTCTATAAATTTGACGACACCACGCATACGTACAAGCCTTGAAATTACTTCAGGTCTAGACATAGCGTTGGGCACAATTGTACGCAAAACTATCAATCCTAATGGTCGTATTGGAGTCTTTTATGATGCATGGCACGATCGTATTGTAGAAACATCAAGTATACAACTGAACATAAAGGAAGGCTACTCAAATTTACCTATAAAGTGTGAGATAAAACGTGGCGACAAGCTTGAAAATCAAAATGTACTTCGATTCATTGATTTTTCTGCTGACCTTCGTTTAAGTGTGTTATCGAATTTGGTTGAATTGACAGGTATTGCTTTAATTATTAACTATCCATTTGTAATTGATGAATGTACTCACATCTTCTACTACTCCCACCTGATTCGAAATCAAGCTTTACTTGACGAGAAAAACATCCTAAAAGAGGTGTACAAAGTACGCGCCACTCATATCATCACGGCGATAGATAAGGGTATCGATGTCGTAGTGCTGTTGAGATTACCAATTGATCATTCGAAAGCGATTGAAGAGAGCCTCGATCAAATATGCCAGTGCTTGAAGAATGAAACGCAACTAAATGTCAATGAACGCGCACTGGATGGAATTCTTTCTACATACATCTATTCGAACATGTCCCACTTAACTGAACAAACAGCATTATTCAATGTTTGCCAAGAAATTCTTAAAATGAAGAATAAACTTACTGATCTGCCATCTTGTAATTATATTCTTCATCCTATCAATATATTTTATATCAATCAAATTCAACAGCACACCAAATTTATTCCTATTGAACCACGAATAGCAACAAAGATTGAAGAACAGTGGCTTCGATCGGCCTCTATGGAAAAAATATGGAAAGCGTTTCAAGACAACACAGATTCCAATATTTGGCAAACTGCTCTTAAGAAACGGTTCGATGAGGTACAAATTAAAGTCTCACAATTCATAAAACAATATAATGATGCAAAGAAAAAAGGTCGAGATTTGATTCCGCACATTCGGCAAGGCGAAAGATTGCAAGAGCCTTTCGAACGTAGCTTACTAATTGAGGAAGAAACGGCATTGAAGGGTATCATCGATGATTTGAATCACTCTTTGAGAAAGTTGAAAGAGAAACATGATTTTGTGAAAGATTTGAAAACCCGAAGGCTTGACTATCGGAGTGCTGCCGATTATGATATCAAACGTGATGATAACGATGATGTGATCGAACGCAAGTTAGTTAAAAATAGGAGGCAACAACGTTTCATTTGCTCAAGCGATAGCTTAAACAAACTGTATTCGTCCAAATTGCAAGAAACACTGGTACAGCTGACTCAAGAACGCAAAAACAATCCTGAATTGATTCTAGTTTATGTGGATTTCTCATCTTATTTGCACACATTAAACATGATAAAAATATTTCCCGTAACAATCTATAACAGCGAAGCCACTACTACTGTACGCGATTCTTTAGCACCATCACCAAAACAATTTGATCTATCACCAGCTGTGTCTTCTACGGATCAGAAGATTACTATTGTTCTTATAGGTAAATCTGGTGTTGGAAAATCGATGTTAATTAATACTATTGCCAATTGCTTAAAATTCAAGGAATTGCCTCAAGTTAAGTCGACTTCATCAGCTATGCATGTTGCTGTCCCGTTTCTCTTTCCCTTAAAGACTGATATATGCTCGCGTTTCATTTTAGTCGGAAAAGATGACTCTAACGAAAATTGTGGTCATCGTTATCCTGGTCAACCCAGAACTCAACGTTGCAAATTACATACATTTGACATCGAAAATGGACAAAATCTATGTATCGTTGATACTCCAGGCTTTTCTGATACAGGCAATCAACCTTATAATGAAACAACTATTCAACACATTCTACAATGCATCTCCAATGTAAAGCACTTGAATGCTATTTGCGTTTTGATAGAATCAGGCGACTCGCAACTCACTAACTATCCACAATTTTTGAAATTGTTACTCGACTTCATTGGACGAGAAGCATATGAAAAGTTAGTTTTCTGTTTCACTAATTATTTATCCTGCCAAACTTATGCTAATCAAAGAATTGATCAAGTTCATAAACTGCTTCAATCACTATCATTTCATAATATTACTACGAAAACGAATAACATAATTTACTTCGACAGCATCTTCTTTTATCATTCAAGTACAGCACGTCACTACGATCGTCACGAACCGAATCTTGAAAAAAGTTGGTCTATTTCAAAGAAAGGAGCGGAGTTACTTCTGCAATGTCTTCATCAAATGGACCGTCCATGTTTGATAGATCGACGATCACAAAGATTAGAATATGCATCAATTGAAATTCTGCAGATGATTCGTCCAATAATGGAAACAATGCGAAATATTCTTCGAAACCATATTCTACACAAGTATGGATCTTCAACGAAATACATCGAACTCTATCCAAAGATTATTCAACGACCTTCCGCTATATGCTATTCTTG